CTGCCACTCCCAAACACTGCTGCTCCAGGACTTAACATGGAGAGCTCTGCTTCTGGACTGCATGGAGCTTAACATGTGATCTAGGGGAATATTCAGCAACCTATGTGAGCTCTAAAACTAAAAAGCAACATTTTTCTTCTCTCCTGTTGAAAGGAGATGATTGAAAAAAATACCCCTTTTCTTCCAGTTAATATGCCATTCCTTGGATCAATAGCATTTCATCATACTGCACGTGATATGAATTCCTCAATTGCAATGTGCCACTTGCCAGAAAATGGAACGCCCTTTCCATTTCCTACCTCATGTTGCCAAGGTGCACTGGCTCAGTAGGTAAATTTGTTCCTGAGCAATTCTGGATTCAGGGAATGGAATGTCAGGGAAGGTGTAAGAGCTTGGTTTCCTGGCTGCATGACAACTTGGGCAGGGTGGGGACAGAGAAGTGAAATGATTCATGGTTCAAATTCTTTCCTTAGATGGAAGATGAGACAGAGAAATGACCAAGGGCTGGGCTGATTTCTCTATGTAAAGCAGTTGCTCAGCTTTTGTACATTTGACTCCTATCCACCTTTTTAGGAATGTACCACAGATGGCACATTGGGGATTGCTATTCCCCCAAAGCCCTTTTTGCACTGGGATATGTCCTCACAGCCTGACCTCCTTTCCCCAGGCCTGGTTTTCAGTCATTGCTTTGCATTCAGCCTCCTTAATACCTTGTAAACTGGAAGGTGGTGCATTAATATGTTTTCACTGAGCACTGTTTCTTTTAAGAATGCTTTCAGCTATGGGTAACAGAAAACCTAGCTAACACTGGTTTACATACAAAGGGAAATAATCTTCCTTGTAACAAGAAGTCTGGGGGCAGACGTCTGGAGAATCAGTTCAATGTCTCATGTAATGTCAGAGGCAGATCTTCATAATTCTCTTGGCCTCTCCCTCCCATCTCCGATGGTTTTTTGGTTACATCTAAGGTAGGAAGCATGAAGAAGAACTGATAGCAACACATTTTTATCAGAAGGGAAGAATCTATATCAAGGGGCTCCAAAACAGGTTTCCCTCATATCTTTTTGGCCACCAAAATGAACCAAGCAGAGTAGATGAGCTACCAGAGCAACTATTACAGTACAGGGATGCAGAGAAGAGAATGGGAGCAGTGTTTTCCATCCAGAGCACAGGTCCTGCACAAACATTGGAAATAGAGAATATCAGCAGACATTGTGGAAAGAATGCTAGATTTGGTTCTGAAGACCTCCATCAAAATCTCAAATCAGCTAAGCTGTATGAGCATGAGTAGCCACTGACCAGCTTTGTTATATTAAGATGGTTTGGGTTGTAAGGAAGGATAAAGGAAGATGCAAAACAGGATGGTGTTGGTAATATAGAGAATTTATCTCTTATAACAGGCAGTCATAGGCGGAGGAAATCAGGACTCATTGTTTGTTTCAGAGATCAGTGGCATTGTCTAGAACCAGTTATCTGCACATGTGTGCTCTGCCACTCATCCACACTGTCTTGGCCCCACAGTTGGGCTAGAAATGGCTCCAGGCATCTCATTACTACATGTGAGGGGATAGTATCCAGAGAAAGAAGTGGGACCAGTCTCTTGCCTAAGGTTTGTTCTCAGGATCAGGGAAATCATTACCAGAAGCCCCTCTATTCCCACAGAATAACTCCCTTATGTCTCCTTGACTCAAGTGTCTTTGGCACAGAGCTGTCTCACTCATCATCACTGGGGAAGAAATGTAGGGGAGACAGCTACGTGTGAATAAAATGAGGACAGTCACCACTTTCCCTGGATATAGATGTCAATGGTTGTTGCAGCAATTTAATAAGATGCTAACAGACTTTGATGGTATCCAACACATGGTATGGGTTCCATGTGATAGGTAGAAAGAAGTCCTAGGTGTCACTATTGTGGATTCCCAGTTCTGAGATTTACTAGTTGTATGACATTGAGCAAGTTTCTAAGCCTCTTTGAGTTCTAAAATTTCACAAAGATGACATTTGCATGTATTGTGTAATACTTCTACTCTGGAAAATTTGCTTCTATTATTTCCTGGATAAATTCCTTCTTTAATTTAATTCTATCCTTCCTGAGATTTTCCTAGAAGTTAAATATGGGATTTCCCATAATGAACTTTTTTTTTTAAATTTTTTAAATGTTTTTATTTATTTCTAGGAGAGAGAGAGAGACAGTGTGAGCAGGGGAGGGTCAGAGAGAGAGGGAGTCACAGACCGAAACAGGCTCCAGGCTCTGAGCAGACAGTCAGCACAGAGCCAGACGAGGGGCTCGAAACCACGAACCGCGAGATCATGACCTAAGCGAAAGTCGGACGCTCAACCGGCTAAGCCACCCAGACGCCCCCCCATAATGAACTTTTATGTGTATTATTTTTTCTTCTATAATATATTCTTTGACCTTTCTCTAGATTCTGGGCTATTTGTTTAACTTTATTTCTCGTCAGCCTATCTATATTTATTTAGTAATTATATATTTAATCAATTTTTCCTCTGACTTTTCCCTTTTTTTATTCTTTATTTGAAGTTTAATTTTGAGGTAATTTTACATTCATACAAAATTGTAAAGAATAATATAAAGAGATCCCATATACCATTTACGTTTTCTTCAATGGCAATAGAATTCAAAACCATAGTACTATGTCACAATCAGAATATTGACATTGATACACTCAATATACAGAACATTTTCATCACCACAATGATCCCTCCTGTAACCCCTTTATAGTCATACCAACTTCCTTCCACCTTGCCCGGTACTTAACGAACTCACTGCCCGCCCCCCCATCCCCGCCACTAATTTACTCTTCATTCTATAACTTTATCATTTCAAGAATATCATATAAGTGGAAACGCAGAGTCTGTAACCTTTTGAGATTGACTGTTTTCACTCCACAAAATTCCTTGGAGATTCATCAAGGTTGCCGTGTATGTCAACATTTAATTTCTTTTTATTTTGAGTAGCATTCCATGGTAGGGATGTAACACAGTTTCTTGAAAGATATCTGGTTTGTTTCTACCTTTTGGCTATCACAAAGCCTCCATCAACATTTGTATGTAGGTTTGGGGTGAATATAAGTTTTCACTGCTCTAGAATAAACGTCCAGGAGTGCAACTGCTGGATTATAAAATGAGCAAGTTTTATAGCTGCAAGTTTTAGTTTTTTAAGACACTGACTAACTATTCTCCAGAGATGTGGTACCATTCTATAGCCCCAATGATAATATATGAGTAATACAGTTTCCCCACATCCTTGTCAATATTTGATGTTTTTACCATTTCTTATTTTAGCCATTCTATAGGTATGTGTTGATATCTTATTATAGCTTTAATTTACACTTATCTAATGGCTGATAATATTGCATACCCTTTAAAATGCTAAAAATTATTAGTTGTATGCCATATACGTTTTACCACAATTTTCAGAAAAGTAATTCCAAACTTTGAGTCAATGAGCAAGGGTCCCTGACAGAATAAGTGTAGAGTTAACACTAAGTACAACTGGACATCTGCAATCCAGGAACAAGTGTCATTCAATGATCAGAGCTACTAGGTTACAAAGATTCCAAGATTTAATATATTTATTATTAATTATAGCTGTATACATGCTTTCAGAGGGGGCTCAGTCAACAAGTGTATATTTATATTTTAAATTAATAGTCGTATAAATAGTTCACGTCCTTGATAATTCCATCCACATTGATTCTACATGTTCTGGGGGAATCAGCACTACCTAGAGGCTTCTCACTCTTTGAGATGTGACTCAAAATTTTCCTCTCTAGAGAACTTTCTATGACTTTCCCTCTAGTCTCTCTCTCTCTCTCTCTCTCTCTCTCTCTCTCTCTCATGCTCCCTAAGCACTCTGTGATTGCTGCCATGAGAATATGTCTCTGTTTAAGGTGTTACCTTAGCTTAGATGACTGTCTCCCCACTCAATAGCACAGTATCAGGTTATAGCAGAAGCTCAGGAATGTTTAATGAACAAAGTCCCACAGAAAGGACACGTTTCCAGTTACTCTATTTCTGCTTCTATCATTGATGTTAAATGTAGCTGTGAACACACTTATTGCTTTTCCTAGGGCTAATGCTTAAATGGGGGCATTTTAACAGGTCTGCAGTCTCATAAGAACTTGAGATTTCAGCTGTTGAATTAGATGAATTAGCTGTCTCCAGAAATCATAGCAACTTCACTGAATAACATTAATCCCCCTTTGTAAACAAAGAGATAAAATAAATGGAAAGTTATTGACTTAATCGTCACAGATCAATCAAAGAACAAAGCACACTGGATTATCTAAGCATGCTTGGATAAAAGAATAAAAACTTAAAATGGTGTGTTTATCTAAGATTCTTCAAAATCTTTTTGTGTTCCCAATGGTGATTAGGGCTCCTAAATACGAGAAGAATTCTAATGCAGCTCCCTCAAAAGATGATCAAAGCCCTTCTGTTTGCTTACCAGAGGTTAGTCTCTCCTGACACTTTCTCTAATTCACTTTTCAACTTCTCCAAAGGACAATACCCCTTTCCAAAAAAGAAAAATCTTTAATCTTTCTTTTTACTCTTAGGTTAGAGACTCTAGTTCTTTGCTTACCCACTCATCTCTTCTTCCCCAACCCCTTACAGAGAGAATAAGACTGCAACTGAAGATGACTTCAGGTTCAAAATCTGTTTCTAAATATAAGCCACATCTGTGTGAGTACAGTGTGGGTGTGGCATGGGAGCACATTCACTTTGAGATGTCAGTAATGATTGTCCTCAGGTTGCCATCTTGGAATGTCAGGGGAAGTTCTGCAGAGAGCAGAAGGGCTTCTCAGAGGAACAAAACAGCTCTAGGATTGGCTCAGTCAAAGCTGAAGATGGGTTTCCACTCAGGAAATCATTCAGACTCTCCTTAATTTACTTTCAAGTTGGCATCTACTAACCATCACTTCATGCTCACTACAGCATTGGTGGCCCCTTCCCTGCATGCATTAGTACCTCCTTACCTCCCAGGCAGGCGCCAAGGGCCAGGGCATACATGAGTGGTGGTGCAGGCAGGCTGACCTCAGGATCTTGGCTGAGGTTCAAGAGCACAGGAATCTATAGACGGAAAAGAACACTAAAATCATATTCATAGAAGCCAAGAGGAGATCCAAAGCACTTTTTTAGCAAACTGTAAGAAGCATCAGATGTTCAAAGGGAAACCAAAGAAACTTCAGAATCCACAAAACCTTGTGTTTGGGCCCACTGACATGTTTTTGTTTCCACCTATATGACCAGCTAACTGGTCCTCTTCCCTCTTCCTCAGCTACCCTGACCACTGTTGTGGATCTTAAAGAATCTCCTACAGTGGCTGGGACCATAACTATAACCATCTAACCAGCATTTCTTAGCCCTACAATGGACCAAGACCTATACTAACTCCATGCACATATCATTTTATTTAATTCTCAAATATCCCTCAGGAGTATTTTTATTCTTTCAATTGATAGATGGGGAAATCAAGGCATGGAGAGACACATATCTTATAAGTAGCCAAACTGGAAGCTGAACACAGTTCTCTGATTACAAACTGCATACTGTTAAAATTGTGCTAAACTACTTCACACACTGCTCTCTGTGCAGTATTCCCAACCCTGCTTACGTTCATAATATAATAGTTATCATATTCAACAACTAAAAAGTAGTATTCTCTAGTAAGTCATGTACTTTTCTGACAAAGATGAATTTCACATTATTGTAATCAAAGAAACATGTAGTAGTTGTAAAGTTTCTGTAACAAATTTTGTGTTCCAACAGCATGCCCCCTTTGGCTCATGTTGCTAATGTAGGAGAAAGAACTGGGAGTACGGGGCAGAACGGAATGTAGCCATGAGGTCTGCTTCCTGCTCACTTGGGGGAAATGTTGGTCTGTGATGTCACTGCTAAGCACCTAAGGGCAGCCCATGAGATGTTAAGGAGGGACCCTTGGATGTGCTGCCTCAGAGAAGATGCTTTGTGTGATGTCTGTAAAGAGCTGGAGGAGGAGAGCTCCAATGGTAACCCAATCAAAAAAGATTTCCCTATAGATTTTGGATATTAACCGTTTATCTGATATGTCATTTGGAACTATCTTTTCCCATTCCTTTGGTTGCCTATGAGTTTTGTGGGTTGTTTCTTTTGCTGTGCAGAAGCTTTGATTTTTTTTAAATATTTTTATTTATTTCTAGGAGAGAGAGAGAGACAGCGTGAGCAGGGGAGGGTCAGAGAGAGAGGGAGACACAGACTCTGAAACAGGCTCCAGGCTCTGAGCTGGCAGTCAGCACAGAGCCCGACGCGGGGCTCGAACCCACGCACCGCGAGATCATGACCTAAGCGAAAGTCGGACGCTTAACCTACTAAGCCACCCAGGCGCCCCAACTGTGCAGAAGCTTTTAATCTTGATGAGGTCCCAATCGTTTATTTTTGCTCTTGATCCCCTTGCTTTTGGGGATGTGTCAAGTAAGAAGTTGCTGCGGTGGAGGTCAAGGAGGTTGTTTCCTGCTTTCTCCTCTTGGGTGTTGATAGTTTCCTGTCTCATGTTCAGGTCCTTAATCCATTCTGAGTTTATTTTTGTGCATGGTGTGAGAAAATGACCTAGTTTCATTCTTCTGCATGTTGCTGTCCAGTTCTCAGAAGATATGAACAGACACTTCTCCAAAGAGGACATCCAGATGGCCAACAGACACATGAAACGATGCTCAGCATCCCTCCTCATCAGGGAAATACAAATGAAAACCACACTGAGATACCACCTCATGCCAGTCTGAGTGGCTAAAATGAGCAAATCAGAGAACTCTAGATGCTGGCGAGGATGTGGAGAAACGGGCACCCTCCTACACTGTTGGTGGGAATGCAAACTGGTGCAGCCTGTCTGGAAAACAGTGTGGAGGTTCCTCAGGAAACTAACAATAGAACACCCCTATGACCCAGCAATAGCACTGCTAGGAATTTACCCAAGGGATACAGAAATGCTGATGCATAGGNNTAGCAGCACTCTCAGCAATCGCCAAAACATGGAAAGAGCCTAAGTGTCCATCAACGGACGAATGGATCAAGAAGATGTGGTTTATCTATACCATGGAATACTACATGGCAATGAGAAACAATGAAATGTGGCCATGTGTAGCAACATGGTTGGACCTTGAGGGTGTTATGCTGAGCGAAATAAGTCAGGCAGAGAAGGACAAGTATCATATGTTTGCACGTATAGGAGGATTAGGAGGAACTTAACTGAGGAACAAGGGGGAGAAGAAGGGGGGAAAGGGTGGGGGAAAGGGAGAGAGGCAAACCATGAGAGACTCTTGAATGCTGAGAACAAACTGAGGACTGATGGATGTGAGGGGGGGAGAGGGGATGGGCATGGAGGAGGGCACTTGTGGGGATGAGCACTGGGTGTTATGTGGAAACTAATTTGACAATAAACTATTTGTAAAAAAAATTTAAAAAATTTTTAAAAATTAAAAAAGAAAGATTTCCCAAAGTCACAAGCAGAAAGTTGAAACCAATGTGGAGATATACAAGTGACATGTGGTTTCATTTGCAGTAGAGAATTGGGGGATGGCAGAACCATGCTCTGCTACATAATGGGTCGCCTGATATCATAAAAAGTAATGTCTCATTGTTTATCTAGGAAGAGTGGATCACTCCCTTGTCTTTATCCCTACAGTAGGACTTCAGGTGCATGCCACTGCAGTGGCCCCCAGGCCACTTCACCACCCCACTGACACTGGGGTTGGCCCATGGCTTACTTTACCAAGGATAGATAGGTGGTCTAGAAAGAAGCATCTCATGTTACTGCAAGCCTCTCTGGAGCTTCAGAGTCAGCCATTAGAAGAGCACACATTATGAAGTGCTACTGATCTATGGGATCACCTGAAGGAGGACACACTTGAGGGCGCCCCATGAACCTCAACAGAGCATTGACCAGCATGTTGCAGCCAAGCTGCAGACCTATGCATCTACTGTATACACTCCTCTCTGCCAGACTACTGCATACACTCTACTGTACATGTTGCTCTGCCAGCCCTGCATACAGCTCTCCACATTTGCCTTTAAAGGTCTGAGAAAGAGCCTTTACTATTTGCTAGGTCACAAGGAGCATTCTGAAAAGCTCACTTTTTCATTTTCAGTGGTCCCAAATATTTACTGGAAGAAAAATGAATAACATCCTGGGAAATCTATCTGATGCAGAAACAGAAACTCTTGGCACAGCGGGTCCCTGAGCAATCTTCACAGCATGTTTCAATCTTTGCTTTTGTTGTCTCATGATGAACCCAAATGTCACAGAGGCAGTTTCTAACTTGAAGTTTTGGTTCTTTGGAGGAGCAAGCAAAGGGCACAGCAGTTGGGCATCTTTCTTCTGGAACCTTCCCTTACTTTCCCAAAGTGATTGATGTTTTATAACACATTATGCCCATAACTTACTTCCATCATCACATTTAACACACACCTCCCTCCTCCACCAAGGTGGGACCATATTGCCTTGTCTATATTCATTTGTGTCTTAAAATATTCAATAATTACTCATAAATGACCTACTGCTGCAGTACTTTGTTAATGCCATCTCCACATAGCAGTTAATATAAGAAACAAATTCCCTGCCCTCATAGAGCTTACATGAGAATAAGAGATAATAGAAGAGAAACATCATTGACCACACACAATAAGATATGCACACTGCGAAAAAAATTGGAAAAGTAAAAATTTAATGGCTCCAATCTCTCAATCAGTGATATTTAATAATCCCTGAAGACTGGGAGGATTAAATCTCAAAGGCTATTACAACATAATACTCAAAACTCCCAGTTCTCAACAAAAAGTTACAAAACATACAAATAAATAGGAAAATATGGCCCATTCACAGGTGAAGAAATTAAAAACAATGTGATAGAAACCATTCTAGAAACCCAGATATTAGAATTATTAGTCCAAGATGTTAGTTAAATCACCTGTCTTAAATGTGTTCAATGAGCAAGAGGAAACCATAGACAAAGGACAAAAACAAATCAAGAAAACCATTAAAAATGATGTATAAATACAATAAAAATAACAATAAATAGAAATTACAAAAAAAGGAAAAAGGAATTACAAAAAGGAATGAAGTAGGTATTCTGGAGCTGAAAACTACCATAAGTGAAATAAAAACTCACAAGAACCCATAGCAGATTTGAGCAGGCAGACAAATGAGTCAGCAAACTTGATGGTAAGACATTAGAAATTATCAAGTCTGAAGAGCAGAAGGAAAATTTAATGGGAAAAAAATTAAAAGAGCCTGTGAAACCTGTGAGAACCATCAAACATAGCAGCATATATATTATAGGAGTCCCAGAAGAAGATAGACAAAAAAGAGGCAGAGAAATTTTTTGAAGAAATACTGTCCAACAACTTTCCAAATCTGAGGAAATACATGAATATACATGTCCAAGGAACTCCATGAACTACAAGCAGGATGAACTCAAGGAGACCTACACTAAGACAATTTATAGTCAAATGATTAAATCCAAAAGACAAAGAGAAAATATTGAAAGCAGCAAGAGAGGAACAACTCATCTCATAAAAGAGATAATCAAAGTCACATTGTCAAGATGGTGGACTACTGAGACCCAGCCCCTGTCCCCTCTCAAAGATGAACAATGAGATAGCAATCCACAAATAAAAGCAGCTCTGAGAGAAGACTATGGTCCACTTAAGACTTTCAATGTAACAAAAAAACTTGAAAAAAATCACACAAAGGTAAGAAAAAACAATTTCATTTTACCTGTATCATCCATTGCCCAAGCCAGCACTGCTCAGTGCCAAGAAAGAACTTCTCAGCTAGAATAAGCTTCCCTCATCAGGAAAGAGAATGGATTGAACAACCTACTTCCCCACCTTCAGGATACCACACAAAGGACCCACTTGAGTTTCACCCCATCCAGAAACCTGGCAAACCTGAGACATACAGAGATGGATAAGAACAAGGAAGAAAAACAGGACCCACCAGTATCAGCTACACAGCAAGACAGACTGCAGTTCGTAGTAACCTCTGCAGATGACTCTGGTAGATTTCACCCCTGAAGACACCAATGGCCAGCATGGTTGCTGCAGACCCCCTGAAGATTTACCAGTTTTTGCCTCACAGGTATTTGTGTTCCCTGACACTCGCCACCTGAATCCCTCCTATTTCCACCCTGCTAGCCCCACCCAGAGACCAGGACCTGCCTCAGTAGCCAGCCCAGGCTTCTGCAACTATGCAAGTGCAAGACACAAACCTAGACCCCTACAGCTGACTCCCACCTCTGTGCACATGCTCAGGGCTAACTCCTCTAGCTGTCTACTCATGTATTGCTGGCCTGATATGTGTCACTGACTTCTATTGCCATGTGCACACACATGAAAAATCCTGTAGTCACAGAAGTGCATACCAATAGCCAAGGCCCCTATACCTATTTATGGGCCTACATTTGGCCCTATCTCCTGTCAGTGGCCTGCGCCACTGGGCTCACCTGCAGCTAGCCCTTCCAGCTGTACACGTGCATTCCTCTAGCCTATCTCCTAAAACTAGCCTCCCATCATGCACCTGTGGCAAGAACAAGTAACCATGGTAGTACACACAGACAACCAGCGCCTCTGTAGCTGCAGTGAAACCTCAGTTGGCCCCACCCCTTGATGCTTCTTCTGATCCCCACCACTAAGTGTGTATTTGCAAACTGCCCTCGCCACCACAAGGCACTTGCAGCTACCCCCTATAATGAAGTATTGTGCACATCATCAGCTCTGACCACCACTTCTGTCAGCCCTGGCCCCTAACCAGAGAACCTAGATGCACTGCTGAGGACCACAACAGCCTTTGTAGCCTCTGTGGACCATCCATGACAGTCACCAAGGACCACACAGTGCCAATACTGTGGACTTTAGCAGACTGAGCCAACAAGTTACTATGTACCCCAGAAGAGAGCTGCCTCATTCCCCCAACACTTCATGTCCTGAACTACTATTACTTATGTCACAGCACACTCCAGCATGCTCTCAAGTGAAGGTAAAGTCTTTTACAGAAGTCAGTCCATCAAATCTGGAAGAAGTGAATGCTTATTCAAATGCACAGAAACCTACACAAGACTAGTGGGATCATGAAGAATCAGGAAAACATGACTCCACCAAAGAAACAAAATACTCTTCTCTAGACACTTAATAATTAAAGTGCCTAAAACCAAAACAAAGAATTTTAAAATGAGCGAGAGAAAATTTTTCTTATTTTCTTGTAGTCTCTTTGGACTACAAGGTTTATGCTGAGAAATCCACTGATGGCCTTAGGGGATCATGAGTTTGAGTCCCACATCAGGTGAGCACAAGCCTTGCCTTGAGTTAGCTCTAGCTCCGCTTCGGGTGAACATAAGCCCCGCTTCTGGTAAAACATGAACCTTGCTTAGGATGAGCCCCACTTCTCACTTCTCTCTCTCTCTCCTCCCCCGTGTCAGTCACTAGTAGCTCTCTCTCAAAAATAAATAAATAAATAATAAACAAATATAAATAAATAAGGAAAGAGTGAAAGCATAGACTTTTTGTATGCAATTGAAGCTAAGTCGTTATGAGCTTAAAATAGATTATTGTGACTATAAGATATTTATGAAAGTCTTAGGGTAACCACAATACAAAAACCATATAGCAGATACCATATTAGATATACACATGATTAGGAGAAAAGAATGAAAGCAGACCACTATAGAAAACCACCAGTTTACAAAGTTAGAGAGCAAGGGAGGTATAAAGGAACTACAAAATACTGAGAAAACAAGATGGCAAAAGTAAGTCCTTCATTGTCAATAATTACTTTATTTTTTAAATTTTATTTATTTATTTTTGAGGGAGAGGCAGAGAGAGGAGAGAGAGAATCCCAAGCAGGCTCTGTACCATCAGCATGGAGGCTGACATGGCGCTCAAAGTCACGAACCATGAAGTCATGACCTAAGCCAAAGTCAAGAATCAGATGCTCAAACTGAGCCACCTAGGTACTCCTACCAATAATTACTTTAAATGTAAGTGAACTAAATTCCCCAATCGAAAGGCCCACAGTGGCTAAATGGATTTTTAAAAAGACCAACTATATGCTGCCACATGAGACTCACTTCAACATCAAGGACATACATAAGCTGAAAATAATGTGATGGAAAAAGATACTCCATACAAATGCAAACCAGAGAGAGCAGGGGTCGCTATAGTTGTATCAGACAAAATATACCTTAAATCAAAACTGTAAAGAGACACAGAAAAGGTCGTTATATAATGATATATATATATAATGACAGCCGAGGTTAGAAGAGAACCAGGAGCATCACTGGATTCTCGCAAGGATGAGATCTTGCAGTGGACTCAAGAGAAAAATGAAGAGGGGCTAGAGCAAGACGAGGATGGCAAGGAAAGACCATCCTTCCAAAGATTCTGACTGTTAAAGGAAGCAGGGGAAAAGGAAGGGAGCCATGGAGATATGTGGCTCACTGAGGGTCTTCATGAGAAGAGAGATGGCAGCATGTCAGAACCTGAAAGGAACGATGCAACGAAAAGTAAAAAATAAATTATGCAGGAGAGAACTGTAGCTCTGGGACCAGGTGGAGGGACTGGCCTCCACTGAGAGTGGGAATGTCCTCCATATAACTGGAAGGAAGGTAGGATGCACTAGGCAGTCACAGTGGCGGTTGCTTGTGAAAGCTCCTACATAATTGTTTTTATCTTGTCACAAAGGGGAAGCAAGGTCATCAACTGTGAGAAAAGAAGGGAAGGGTGCTGGAGGCTCAAAGAGAGATGAGAGGTGTGTAGGAGTAATCAATAATCAGGGCAGATGAGTTCCAGGAAGAAGCTGTGTGGAAGGCAGCACTGATGGTCCGTGACAGAAGGGCTGTGGCTCGAGACGAGACAGCAATGCTTGCTGCTCTGCTTCATTGCCTGTGCATGTGGGATGGGGGTGCAGGGGATAGGATTAACCTGGTGGTAGGTGTTGCTTGCCAAAGGAAGACTGTGAAACCAAATAGAGGCAAGGGAGCTGAGGATTAATACACAGAGATAATCATAATAATAGTAATGAAGGTGGGTGTTTAAGGAGGGAAAGGAGAATGTAAAGCAGGGTGGGTCCACAACAGCAGGTAGGGCTGTTGACTTGGGTCATAAGATTATCAGAAACAATAAACTTTAGGACAGGGCCCAGGACTGGGTTACATTTCTCTTTGGGAGTACACAGACTTTAAGGGAGCTATAGCACATAGGTAGTATTAACGGACTCAATTTCCAGATCTTTCATACATCGTCAAAGTGAACTGTTTTCTCAGCCCTAAGAAATGGATGTCCTAGGGCCCATGGGAAGAGACTAAGGAGGGTGGCTCCTGGAAAACAGCCCTGTAGATGTTGAAAATCATGCAGTTGTTGGGTAAGGTTCTACTTGGACTGATTCCAGCTGGGCCCCAAGAAATCCCCAACACAGGGAGGAAGACAGGTGAAGATGGATTGCTGCCTACATCAGGACCCATGGTGATGCCTACCAGGGCCTCACACACTGCCTGGCAGACCAAGCCAGGGCCCTCTTTGTTCCCCTAAGATCACTAGTTTGGCTTTGGGTCTGCACAAAACAACTTCTCTTCCTGATATTGCTACAGGGTCATCCTAGCACAGACATCACCTCATCCCATGAAATGTTACTTGCATCAGTTCAGCATACAGCACTGTACAAGAAGACCAGCTGAGTGGGGTGGTCACCTCAGCTATGGCCACAAGGAATTCTGAAAAGAAAAGATATGATGAGTTCATACATTTAAGGTAATATGTAAAATTCCTCATTCTAACTTAAAATAGGTCCTAAGGATATAATTGCTAGCATATGTTAACATTCTTAAAAGCATTCCATCATTCCTTTAAGTCTATGTATTTATATTTAAATACTGTAATATCAACTTATCTAAAAATACATATCAAACGCCTTTTCAAATATCTTAGCAGGAGGACATATACCTTGCTGCCTGGCCTCTAACCCCTACCATGGACATCTGATCCAGAATCTTAGGAAGGGTGGCTCCTGAGTGATTGCAGGAGAATTAACAATGAAAGGAAGGCTGGCTAGGTTGTCCCTTATAGGACTGAAAGAGTCACATGGCAGAAGATGCCCAGAGTGGGGATGAAATGGCCCATGTAGGCAACAACAGGAAGCAGTAGTGGTTCTCAGGGCAGGGGGCTGCCCCGGGTCATGAGGCAATGCCAAAGGGACAGGCACAGCACTTTCAGTTGGACAACTGTCCTAGGAAGACCCTATAGCATTATCAGGCAGTGAGCATCAAGAGGATGTTCTGTTCTGTGAAAGGGAATGTAAAGAGAAGAAGCCAGCAGGGTCAGTTTTGAAATTTGAACTTATTGTCAACATTTGAGAAATGAACATTTTTCATAGAAAAATAGTGATGTCTATAGTTTTTTTTTAAATAAGATAAGTGCAGATGCCAAGCCTACTTCCCTGCAGGGAGAAGATGCATCACAGCTGTATAGGTATTTCCCTACCTCTGACCCAGCACACCTGCCCTCTCTAGATGCCCACAATATCTGCTTTTCCTACACACACCACCCTGCTTTCCCTTGGCTCAGGACACCTGCTCCCCCTCTACTCTACCACATCTAACCTCCCTGCACCTACCACTGGCCTTCCTTAAAAAGCCACCACTACTGGGGTCAATGTACACTTATTCCCAGATGGCACTCTTTATGGTTGTCATTTTGTTGCCAATGTCTACCAACTATCTCCAGGTGAGACATTTAAGTTTGGACACTTAATCTAGAAACTTGTCCCAGACTCTCATAGACGGGGAAGTGCTCAGACCTCTGAGGAATTACCTATTCTTTGTCAGATTCCTTTTATATGGGATTTAATAAGTGTCTCAGGGAAATACGAGGGACAGCTTGCATCTTCACAGGGGATCTTGAGAATGGAGAGGGTGGGATTGTAGTTCTTCATTGGCCGGCATATTTGTAGTGGTAGGGGAACACTCCAGATCAGGTGTTGATCCAGACCAGTGCATCTTCAATGCATATGTGCAGGCAGTCACCCGTCACCTTGTCTAAGTATAGGCTCTGCCTTGGCAGGTCTGGGTAGCCAGTGCATACATTTGTACAACTTCAAGGCTGCTGACACCCAGACTCCACCTGAGATGGAGGGGCTGCATATTGTCAATGCAATGCATCTCTTTTCTTCTTCTTGGAACTCCTAATACTACTATGCAAGAGTTCCTGGGTCTCACTCAAATCTCATCTTTTTTCACAATTCTGTTCTTTAGTACTTTTAGTTAGCTCTTTCACTTGGCCTCAAACCCACTAACCAGGCCTAACACTGATTTTTATTTCAATTCAGTATTTTTTTAAGTTACAGGTTTTAGCTTCAGAAAGTACTTTTTATTCAATGCTTAAAATCTCCCAAAGCGTACTTACAACTTATTGTTTATTATCTTATGTCTCTGTGCCATACTGTGATGAATCGTTTCTGAGGCTGTTGGTCCCCCATATGTGCTACTTGTTTTTTGTGGAGTGCCACAGATCTAGAATCCAGCAAAGTGGCCAGTCCTCAGGCCTGGGCACTGGAGGGCCCTTCTGATGCCACTCTCCACCACCAGAGGGGGTGAAGGCCCCTCCCAAAATGTTGTGCACTGCCCCAAGGAGCTGACTTGCAACCTGACAGCCTGCCAATACCAGGGTGATCAAACTGCAGCTCTCCCAACCTAATAGGAGATACAGCATTTCTCTGCTGCTGTCATTTCTATTTCTCTGACCTAGTGCTTCCTCAGCCCGCACAATGACAGAGCTGGGATCCAAGCCCAGACTCACCTTCTCTAGAACTGTTAATTCCTGGGGCGCCTGGGTGGCTTAGTTGGTTAAGCATCCGACTTTCACTTAGGTCATGATCTCACGGTTCGTGGGTTCGAGCCCCACATCGGGCTCTGTGCTGACTGCCAGCTCAGAGCCTGGAGCCTATTTCAGAGTCTGTGTCTCCCTCTCTCTGACCCTCCCCTGCTCACACTGTGTCTCTCTCTCTCTCTCTCTCCTAGAAATAAATAAAAATATTAAAAAAAAAAAAAAAAAAAGAACTGTTAATTCCTACAAATGCTCATGTTATTAAACCTAACTGCAATCTGCTGGTCCAGGTTCTACCCTCCACAATATTTTGATCCTGGATGTTTTAGGAAAGGATGAGTGAAAACAAAAATGAGATCATGTAGACAGAAAATTAAATATGAAATGTTTCTGACTTTTACCACCCTGAAAGAGCATTTTTCTTTGTCAGGAGTTACAGCAGCCTGTCCTCTGCTCAAGTACCTTCTGCAGGGCAAGTGGCAGGGAGAAGACTACAAAGACCTAGGAGAAGAAGGTAAATGAGAACAAGCCAGCCTTAAAAACTGACTTCCATACCAAGTTAAAACTGAATGATAATACAGATAATGATGAATATCCAAGAAGTCAGAGAAAACCCACAAAATTATGTGCATAAATTATCATTCTTTGAATTCAACATCCAAGACAAGAATAATCATATTTTAACTTGAAAATTGCCTGACAATTCTTCCTGTTCAAGCAAATGAGGGTGAAAAGATAAGGTTTAAATGGAGAAAGGCTGCCAGAAAATTCTCAGTCATTAGCAATGTATTGCAAGTACATTTACCAGGGAACTTAAGAAAGCTGCCCACAGAAGCAGGTCTGTGCTCATGTGTTGCTCCCACAACTCTTTATCAATTGCAGACAGGAACCTGAAGGAAGGTGAGGAGGGCAGATGTTAATGGAATTACCCTGACTAGAAATATTTGTTAAGACTGAGAAAGACAGGGAAGCCTGGGTGGCTCAGTCGGTCTTACTTCGGCTCAGGTCGTGATATCGCGGTTCGTGGGTTTGAGCCCCGCGTCGGGCTCTGTGCTGACAGCTCAGAGCCTGGACCCTGTTTCAGATTTTGTGTCTCCCTCTCTCTCTGACCCTCCCCTGTTGATGCTGTCTCTCTCTGTCTCTCCTAAAGAAATAAATAAAACATTAAAAAATTTTTTAAAAAGACTGAGAAAGACAAATACCAGATGATTCCCTCAAAACTAGAATCTGCAAACAACATATGAATAAGCAAACAAAAAGAAGAATCAGACCTATAAATACAGAGAACAAACTGATGGTTGCCAGAGGAGAGTGGAATAGGTGTTTGGGCAAATTGGGTGGAGGAAAGAGGGAGATCCTGGCTTTCAGTTATGGCATAAATAAATCATAGGAATAAAAGGCCCAACATAAAGAATACAGTCAATGATATAATAATAATAGTGATGTATCAGGACAAATGGTAGTTACACTTTTGGTGAACACAGTATAATTTATAAACTTGTCAAATCACTGCTGTACATGTGAAACTAATGTAACATTGTTTGTCAACTATATTCAAATTTAGAAAACATGGGGCTCCTGGGTGGCTCAGTTGGTTAAGCATCCGACTTCAGCTCAGTTCATGATCTCACCGTTCGTGGGTTCGAGCCTCGCATGCGGCTCTGTGCAGACAGCTAGCTCAGAGCCTGGATTCTGTATCTCCCTCTCTCTCTGACCCTCCCCAGCTCATGCTCTCTCACTCTCTCAGAAATAAATTTTAAAAAACATTTTAAAAAATTATTAAAAAAAAAAAACTTAGGGGAACCTGAGTGGCCAGTTGGTTAAATGTCTGACTTCGATTCAGGACACGATCTCACAGCTCATTGGTTTGAGCCCTCTTCTTTTTTTTTTTTTTTTTTTTTTTACAAATAGTTTACTGTCAAATTAGTTTCCACATAACACTCAGTGCTCATCCCCATAAGTGTCCTCCTCTATGCCCATCCCCCCCTCCCCCCCACATCCATCAGTCCTCAGGTTTTGTCAGCATTCAAGAGTCTCTCATGGTTTGCCTCTCTCCCTTTCCCCCACCATTTCCGCCCTTCTTCTCCCCCTTGTTCCTCCGTCAAGATCCTCCTAATCCTCCTATACGTGCAAACATATATTTGTCCTTCTCGGCCTGACTTATTTCGTTCAGCATAACGAGCCCTCTTCAAGTTTTGTGCTGGCAGCTCAAAGCCTGCAGCCTGCTTCAGATTCTGTCTCAGTCTCTCTCTGCCCCTCCCCCACTTGCACACCATGTCTCTCTCTCTCTCTCAAATATAAATGAACATTAAAAAAACACTTAAAGTTGGGGCGCCTGGGTGGCTTAGTCGGTTAAGCGTCCGACTTTCGCTTAGGTCATGATCTCGCGGTTCGTGAGTTCGAGCCCCGCATCGGGCTCTGTGCTGACTGCCAGCTCAGAGCCTGGAGCCTGTTTCAGTCTGTGACTCCCTCTCTCTCTGACCCTCCCCTGCTCACGCTGTCTCTCTCTCTCTCTCTCTCTCTCCTAGAAATAAATAAAAAAATACTAAAAAAAAAGCTAAAAAACAACAACAACAAAAAACACTTAAAGTGATTGGCACTAAGCAATGTTGTTGAATCATTATAATGTAGAAACTAATGTAACATTGTATAAACTAATATAATGAATATGCTTGTATATTAATTATACTTCAATTAAAAAATAAAAATTAGAGACAAAACAAAACAAAAAGGAAATATTTCCAAACCAATTGATAGAGAGGTACTATCCAAGACCCCCAGGGCCTCCCACACCCTCAGCCCTTTGAGCCCTGTTCTGCCCAAAACAGTTGAGTAATTAACAATGGCACATTGGGTGAGATGAGAGAGGGGGCTTCAACATTCCTGTTTCAGAGGCTCCATGTCGGTTCTGACTGCACTAAAAAAAGATGGAATATCAATATTAAATTGATTTAATTAATGTTAAATAATTTTATCTTTTCTTTTTTATTTTTTCTTTTAATTTTTTTTAAATAATTTATTGTCAAGTTGGTTTCCATATAACACCTAGTGCTCATCCCAACAAGTGCCCTCCTCCAAGTGCCATCACCAACCTTTCCTTCTCCTTCACACCGATTAGCCCTCAGTTTCTTCACAGCATTCAAGGGTCTCTCATGGTTTGCCTCCCTCTGTCTCCCCAACTATTTTTCCCCTTCTCCTCCCCCCATGGTCCTCCGTTAGGTTCATCCTAATCCAACTATATGTGCAAACATATGATATCTGTCCTTCTCTGCCTGACTTATTTCGCTCCGCAAAAGACCCTCAAGTTCCATTCACGTTGCTACACATGGCCAGATTTCATTCTTTCTCATTGCCATGTAGCATTTCATTGTATAAATATACCACATCTTCTTGATCCATTCATCAGTTGATGGACACTTAGGCTCATTTCCTGATTTGGCTATTGTTGAGAGTGCTGCTATGAACACTGGGGTATGTGTGCCCCTATGCATCAGCACTCCTGTATCTCTTAGGTAAATTCCTAGCAGTGCTATTGTTGGTCATAGGGGAGTTCCACTGTTAACTTTTTGAGGAACCTCCACACTGTTTTCCAGAGGGGCTCTACCAGTTTACATTCCTACCAACAGTGCAGGGGGGTGCCTGTATCTCCACATCCTCACCAGCATCTATAGTTTCCTGGTTTGTCTATTTTAGCCACTCTGACTGGCGTGAGGTGGTATCTCAGGGTGGTTTTGATTTGTATTTCCCTGATGAGGAGGGATGCTGAGCATCATTTCATGTGTCTGTTGGCCATGTGGATGTCCTCTTTGGAGAAGTGTCTGTTCATGTTTTCTGCTAATTTCTTCACTGGATTATTTGTTTTTTGGGTGTGGAGTTTGGTGAGTTCCTTATAGATGTTGGATCTTTATCTGATATGTCATTAGCAACTATCTTTTCCCATTCTGTCAGTTGCCTATTAGTTTTATGGATTGTTTCCTTTGCCATGCAGAAGCTTTTTATCTTGGGTAGGTCCCAATAGTTCATTTTTGGTCTTGATTCCCTTGCCTTTGGGGATGTGTCAATTATGAAATTCCTGCAGTTGAGGTAAAGAAGGTTGTTCCTGCTTTCTTCTCTAGGGTTTTGATGGTTTCCTGTCTCACATTCAGATCCTTCATCCATTTTGAGTTTATTTTTGTGTATGGTGTGAGAAAATGATCTAGTTTCATTCTTCTTCATGTTGCTGTCCAGTTCTCCAAGCACCATCTGTTAAAGAGGCTGTCTTTTTTCCATTGGATACTCTTTTCTGCTTCATCAAATATTAGTTGGCCATACATTTGTGGGTCTAATTCTGAGTTCTCTATGCTATTCCATTGGTCTATGTGTCTGTTTTTGTGCGAATACCATATTGTCTTGATGATGACAGCTTTGTAGTAGGGGCTAAAGTCTGGGATTGTGATGTCTCCTGTTTCGGTTTTCTTCTTCAATATTACTTTGGTTATTTGGGGTCTTTTGTGGTACTTTCCTCTTAGGACTGCCTTTGCCACATCCCATAGAGTTTGCATTGTTGTGTTTTCATTTTCATTTGTTTCCATATATTTTTAAATTTCTTCTCTAATTGTCTGATTGGCCCATTCGTTCTTTAATAGGGTGTTCTTTAACCTCCATGTTTTTGGAGATTTTCCAGACTTTTTCCTGTGGTTGATTTCAAGTTTCATAGCATTGTGGTCTAAAGTGTGCATGGTATGATCTCAATTCTTTTATATTTATTGAGGGCTGCTTTATGTCCCAGTATGTGATCTATCTTGGAGAATGTGCCATGCGCACTTGAGAAGAAAAGTGAATTCTATGGCCTCAGGATGTAGTGTTCTAAAAATATCTGTCAATTCTATCTGGTCCAACGTGTCATTCAAGTCCATTGTTTCTTTAGTGCTTGTCTAGTTGATTTATCCATTGCTGTAAGTGGAGAATTAAAGTCCCCTGATATTAGCACGTTCTTGTCCATAAGATTGTTTCTGTTTGTGACTAATTGTTCTTTTTATTTGGGTGCTCCTGAATTCGATGTGTAGACTGAATTGTTAGCTCTTCCTGATGGATAGACCCTGTAATTATCATATAATACCCTCTTCATCCCTCTTACTGTCTTTACTTTAAAGTCCAGTTTGTCTGATATAAGAATAGCTACTCCAGCTTTTTTGAATTCCAGTAGCATGATCGATCTTTCTCCATCCCCTTACTTTCAATCTGACAGTGTCCTCAAGTCTAAAATGAGTTTCTTGGAGACAGCAAATATATGGATTTTGGTTTTTTATCCATTCTGCCACTCTATGTCTTTTGATTGGAGCAGTTAGTCAATTCACATTCAGTGTTATTATTGAAAATTATGGGTTTAGAGTCATTGTGGTTTTTGTAGGATTCATGCTTGTGGTGATGTCTCTGCTACCTTGTGTTCCTTGCAACATTTCCCTCATAGCGTCCCTCTCAGGATATCTTCTAGGGCTTATTTACTGGTGATGAATTCTTTCAATTTTGTGTTTATTTGGGAAGACTTTTATCTCTCCTTCTATTCTGAATGACAGGCTTGCAGGATACACGATTCTTGGCTGCATATTTTTTTCTGTTAATCACATTGAAGATTTCCTGCCATTCCTTTCTGGCCTGCCAAGTTTCAGTAGATAGGCCTGTCACCACTCTGATAGGTTTCCCTTTGTATGTTAGGGCCCTTTCTCCCCTAGCTGCTTTCAAAATTCTCTCTTTGTTCTTATATTTTTCCAGTTTCACTATGATATATCATGCAGAAGATCAATTCAAGTTACATATGAGGGTACGCTCTGTACCTCTTGGATTTCAATGTCTGTTTCTTCCCCAGTTTGGAGAAGTTCTCTGTTATAATTTGTTCACGGACTCCTTCAGTGCCTTTCCCTCTCTCTTCCTCTTCTGGAATTCCTATGATATGGTTATTGTTCTGTTTGATTGTATCACTCAGCTCTGGAACTCTCCTTTTGTGTTCCTGGATCAGTTTCTCTCTTTTTCTCGGCTTCCTCTTTTTCTGAAATTGCTCTTCTGACTCACTTGTTTTCCTCTCTGCCTCTTCAATCTGTTAATTGGATGCCTCCATTTTATTGTGCACCTCATTTATAGCATTTTTTATTTCATCACAACTATTTTTAAGCTCAATAGTCATTGTACAATAGTTTCTCTGATGTCTTCCATGCCTTTTTCAAGCCCAGCGATTAATTTTATGACTATTGTTTTAAATTCTTGTTCAGTTATGTTGCTTATATCTGTTTTGAGCAGTTCTTTAGCTTTCATTTCTTCCTGGCTTTCATTTCTTTAGAGAAGAGTTCTTCCGTTTCTTCATTTTGGCTAGCTTTCTGTTTCTTGTTAGTTTAAAAGCTTGTTGTAACCTCTGCACCTGTGAATACTGCTGTATTAAAGAAGGCTCTTTCACTCTCCAGGGCCTGTCCATTCAGGAAGTGTTCTTTGAATGGTGTTCTTGGTCTTTCTTGTTGAGAGTTTGGTTATTTTATATCCCTACTTGTAGTGGTTTTTGGGACTCTCTACCATGTGTGCTTTGGCTTATTTCTTGAGCTGGCCCTGGAAAAGAAAACAGACAGACAAATACACGGGGAACAAAGGCACACAAATGCACATACAAATCCAACATAGAAGTAAACTGAATGTGAAAAAGAAAAGAAAAATGTGGAAAAAAGGAAAAACAAGTAATAAAAACATAAAAGAAGAAAGAAGAAATGAAAAGAAAAAAGAAAAAAAAACCCAAAAGACAAAGGACAGTCTGAAAGAATAAAACCAGAGTTCCCAGCTACATATAAAGAGCAGGGTGTCTGCAGTGATGGAAGAGCATATACAAAGAGAGAAATGACAGGGTGAAGAGGAAGCAAAATTGGAAGAGAGACTAAGAGGCTTAATTCAGAGAGAGAAAGAGGAGAATATGGTAGGAGGCGAGGAGAAAGAAACAAAGATAATGCTACCCAAAGAAACAATGTAGTCTGATTATTCCAGAGAAAGAGAGATAGAGAGGTAGCAGTGTAGGTGTAGAATGTACATATAGAGAATGGATTAAATGTGACTGTTTAAGCAGACCAATGACTTGAGTGCGGGGGGCAGGGGAAGGATACGAATGAGACAAGGGAAAATATATCTGAATATATAGAGTTGAGATAGAATTAATCATGGCAGTGCATCCATGTTGGACTTACCCAGGGGCTCCGATAAAAGAAAAAAGAAAAAAAGCAGCTCTCTATCAGGGATGGGTGTGGTTTGGTGTAGGCAAGTCTTAGCTTCCACTGTGTCCTGTCGGCTGCTCCCTGAGGTATCGCTCTGATGTTTGTGGGAAGAAATATAGCGGTGCCCCAGTCCCCTCTCGAACCAAGGGTTGTAAATCACTCTTTTGGGTCCAATCTCCCTGTGCCACAGGCGTAGCCAGGGTAGGCCGTGCTTTATGTCCCAAGCCTTATTTTGTTTCCAGATTTCAGTCCATGCTCTTTATTTATCCCGCCCCAAACATAAACCCACAGTTCAAGTCCTTCTGAGCTGCCTCAATCCTGCCACCTCCCCACTGGGCATCGAGCGGGGGGTCTATGGAGTGGTTTCAAGCCACACTGCTTCCCTGCTGGATAGGGCCAGGAGTGCAGCGGAGAAGTTTCTCCTGTCCCCATCAGGGACCGGGGCTTTCAGCTCAAAGTCAGCACCACAGCTGGAAACCAGATCTGAAGTTTCTCTCTTCTCCAAGGACAGGGACAGGTGCTAGGGTAGCTCAGTCAGTTAAGTGTCATGATCTCATGTTTTGTGAGTTCGAGCCCCACATTAAGCTCTGTGCTGTTAGCTCAGAGCCTGCTTTGGAACTAACTATCTCTCTACTCTCAAAAATAAACATTAAAATTTTCTTTAAAAAAAAATAGTGTTCCTGTTAAAGATAAGCAAAGGTCAAAATGAAGGAGAGAGCCCAAGGAATAAGGAAAATTTAAAAGAAAAAAACCTAATCCCAAAAAGTTCTGGGGTGCTCCTTTAAAACCCAGCTGTGCACATGCTGGAATTTTCACTGAAGCCCTCTCCATCCAAATTGGAGAGATAAGCCATCTATGATCTAGTGCTTTCAACTCTGGACACTCTGAGATAAGCAAAAATTCAATAGCATGATCCTGCCAGTTAGAATCTAAGTCTTTAACATTTCCTGAATCATTTGGTATTTTTCTTTGACCATTGGAAGAAGAGAAATATGATGAACAAATATGAATAGTGTTTTCCTACCTGCTGTTCTCAGCTCACAGTTGACAATATGAATACTGGAGGAACACCTCCCCCAACTTAAAGGCACACTCTGGAGAGAAGACACCACCCAGGAAGAGATGGGCTTTGTTTTGTCCCAAACCAAGACATTCAACATCTGTACAACTTTTCTAACTCAGGACTTCATGAAAAAATAATAACTGTCATAGCATTAGCTCAGAATTACCTAACCCAGACCATGGAAGAATAATACTAGAAGAATATAACTAGAGGGGCGCCTGGGTGGCTTGGTCGGTTGGGCGTCCGACTTTCGCTTGGGTCGTGATCTCGCGGTTCGTGGGTTCGAGCCCCGCGTCGGGCTCTGTGCTGGCTGCCAGCTCGGAGCATGGAGCCTGTTTCGGTCTGTGGCTCCCTCTCTCTCTGGCCCTCCCCTGCTCACGCTGTCTCTCTCTCCTAGAAATAAGTAAAACATTAAAAAAAAAAAAAGAATATAACTAGAGAGTCAATGTGCTGACACTGATTCTAGGCAGTGAGTGAGTGATATACAATACCAGATCAGCCTAAGGTCTTGTGAGAGAGGGAAACGCCACTCTTCTTCTCACTGACAGGTTCTGTGCTCTACTTTCTTGGGTCCCTAGTGACAGAGGGTGATGGAATGTCATGGAATACCCCTTGCAAAGGCTGTTGGAAGGGGTATGGGTGGGCCCTCAAAGTTATATGAACAGAGAAACTTCCCCTGTCCAGAGTTCAACCATGAGAAGTGTTCACACCTGGGACTTCTGGTATTTGTGACAGGACCCCAGGTTCCTGTATGCAAGCCCCCATTCCTGCCTTTATTTTATTATACCATGGATTCACAGTTCTGTCATATATCAATCAGTGATGTCAGAAAACACAGCAGGAACCTGTGGGTTCCTTGTCAGCTTGTAAAAGACCTTTAATGTGTTTCCCAGTCTCAGCTGCAGTCAGGACTACAAAGAGAACTCAAAATTTGCCCAAACCAAGCACCAGAAGCCACACCAGCCAGGTTCTGCATTCACAAGGAATAAAGGATAAATGCCTTCAACCAGCCTATCTTTGGTGTCTTACAATTTTCTTTAAAAAAAATAAATAAACAAACAGACTGTCTTTTCCATGAGGTATGGCAGCTCTCAGTTCGGCTAACCCTGAAACAACTAGTTACTGATACACTGTCCACTGCAGCTGAAGGCCCATGGATTCTAGCTTGCAGTGTGGACTCAATACCGCTGGCCCAGCTGGCCCCAAGCTATGCCACATATTTCCTCTATGAATGTAGCAAACAAACATGTTCATTCTCTGCTTCCTCTGGAAGGAAGAGTGAGCTCGGATTTTTTCAGACAAGTTGTCTCCATATCACATGGGGGAGGAGTGCAACTCACCATTGTAGCAGTGAATGGGATGTTGTCAATCAAGGAGGATGCAATGGCTGAGACCCAGACCACCAGGATGATGGCAGTTGCAAGGCGCCGATCCTCTGGGACCATCTGGAAGGAAGCAGATAATAGCAGTACTATGTATCACAGCTGCATTAATAAATCACACACACTGAGGATCTAATGGTAGGACATATGAGACTCAGAAGAGACCTCAGGGCTTCCAGTTCTTCCTCTCACACAGAAGACAAATACAGACCCAGGTATGCAAACAGGACCAGCATGGGCTTTCCTGGATAATATCAGGAGCTTCTGCTGGGTCTACAAGAAACCGAGGAGAGTGATTCCCAGCCACACCCAAGCCAACAAGCACTTAGGGAAGGAAGCAGGGTGGCTCCATTCTTGGTGGCAGAACACATTAATTACACTGAACTGAGCTCCTGGCAGAAGACTGGGGCTGTGCATTCACTTACTAAGACTGGTGTCTTAATTGCCATCCTTCTTAGACAGGTTTTAGCTAAAGACTAATAGAAAAATTGCAGGAATCTATAATTATATATTCTTTGCAAAAAGTCTCCCTTCATCTCTAGGCTGCAGAGGACAAAAAAAGATTTTCTGCTATACTTTTTACATAATTTGTGACCTATTCCTACCAGATTTTTTTTTTTACAAAATCAAAGAAACAGTGGTTGGAGCACATTCTATTACAATATTTAATGTACCTTTATTAGCAAAGCAGTCTGTTCTCCAACGTACTCTATTAAGTGGAGATGCGCCAGTGCCTAGAAGAAACGGATATATGATGAAAATCAGTTTAAAACTAAGAATACATGCAATTTCTTTCAAATAAAAACATGCCTTAAAATAAAAACAAGTGAACATAAAGAAGGTCCTGGCTCTCATGTCTTATAAAGGATTATACTCAAATACACAGTCTATAAATAATTTACTATCAAATAGACACACTGAAGATTCACTGAGAAGAATGCACTATACCACAGGCAGGAATTTTCATTGATTTGTGTTATTGTCCACATTAAATTTAAATTTGAGTGGAATGACATCTTTTTATGATCAGTATATAGGAACACTGTTCAACTGTACATAATGAAATGCTGCCCCTATAGAAGGTTTTTCTTTTCTTTTTTTTTTTTAATGTTTTATTTATTTCTGAGAGAGAGAGAGACAGAGTGAGCAGGGGATGGTCAGAGAGAGAGGGAGACACAGAATCCAAAGCAGGCTCTAGGCTCTGAGCTAGCTATCAGCTAGCCCGATGTGGGGCTCGAACCCACGACCCATGAGATCATGACCTGAGCCGAAGTCGGACGCTTAACCGACTGAGCCACCCAGGTGCCCCTAGAAAGTTTTTTAAGTAGGTTACATTTCAAATTTCTTTTTGAAGTTCAACATCACAGTTAGAGTTTTAGAAGAATCAAAGAAAACGCATGGTTTTTATAACTGTCAAAGAAAGAAAGAACAGATCTATTTAACTGAAGTATGTAACTATTTTCTCAGTACTAAACAGATTGAAAAAAAATTGAGTCCAAGGTAGGAAAGATTAGATGAAGGAGATATAAGTTCAGGAGCTGTTCTGCTCAGGCTGCTGCCTTCATCACAGCCAGGAAAGGGATGCTCTGGTGCCTACAGTGGATCCCAAACAGGAAGCACTCATAAGGAATTAGATGTGGGTGTGACACAGCTGCCTTGCACTTCTCAAATGTGGCCTTTTCACCGTGATGTCACCATGCTGAATGACTGTGAATATTGAGAACATCAGCTTGACCATGTTTAAATACAAGTTTACAACTTCCCCATCCGTATGTAGAGTTGTTTCTTAGCCTTCCTTTTAAAGTGTGGAACCCAAATGTTGGGTTTTCAGTCACAATTCTCAGTCAAGTGTATTATTATGTCAACTAAATCATAAAGATTAATCATTTTAGATAAATCTGTTCATCAATCTTGTCAGCATTGTTGACGTTAGGAACCAAATAATTCCTTGTTGTAGGGGCTGTACTGTGCAATATGGGATGTTTACCATCCCTGGCCTCCACTCCCCAATGTGATAACCAAAACTGTTTCTAGACAGTTGCCACAAAATCACCTTCTGATAAGAGTCACTGATTTATAATATTACATAAATAAAATTTTTTTAAATTTGCAAAACAGTTCAATGTAGTCACATCCTTTATTTCATTCTATACTACTGACTGAAAGAAAAGTCAGATGTCTAAACCAGATTAAAACTTCTTGTTAGATATCAAATACAGATGATTATATATGTGTGTATACATACATAGACACGTACATACAACCACATACACAGTATTATGTGCAAGCCTTGATATATGCCTATAAACAACTATGTATTTATATATTTAGTGTCATATAATTATCCCAAATATCAAGGTCCATGGTATAGAGTATAAGACAACATAAAGGAAAATCTTCAAAATACTTAAATATTGTATCTAATAATTCAGTTCAAAGTAACTGATCTCATAACTGAAAAAAGAAAGTCAAAATACAAATATTTAATAAGAACTTTATAAATGGCAAATGAAATAAATATGTAACACTTAACTCTACCAAGACCTTCAGATGGGATAATACATATTGTTCTATTGTCAATTCACTGACCTTTTCTTTGCTTGTATTCCTTTGGTTACTAAACCCATAAAGTTCTTTTTTAATGAAGTATTATATTCTTAAATTCTAATCTTTGTATTTGCTTCTATTTTATAATTTCTGTTTCTCTCCTAATGATTCCTATATTTTCATTCATTTCAAATTTATTTTTTCTTTACCTAATTATGAATATCAGTACTTTAAATTCTTTCATCATTTCAACATCTGTATAATGTCTGGATTAAAGTCTATTTATTGTATTTTTCCCAGAGAATTGATTGCATTTTCCTCATTCTTTGTATTTTGAGTCCTTTAGCATCATCTCCTGGATATTGTTAGTGTTAAGATATGTAGATTCTGGGTTCTGTGATAGTCTTCTGGACATTATTATTTTCTTTTCTCTTTTCTGTTAGAAGTTAGGTTCAGAATACAATTTCTGTCTCACCTTCCATGGGTAGTGGTTCAAATTTATATTTTCCATGCAATTTTGGTCTGTCTCACATATGCACAGTTCAGCACTTAGAGACTCATGGAGATGGTTCAAGTCTCAGCCAAGTTCTTTAAACTTTGCTATGTTGATTTGTGACTGTCCAGCATATATGTCATTCAAGAGTTAGAGACTTGTATGAATGGTTCTAATCTCAGTCCTCTAGGCCTTCACTAGCCTTGTTTGGGTCTGTATCACACAGGCATTGTTCAGAACTGTACATGTTCATAAATGGAATTGGGGGTGAGGGATTCCCTGGCTCTCTCTTCTGAGATTCCCACAGGTATTTTCCCTGGCTCCCCTGGGAGGAAAGATGAGCATACTATGGCTAGGCATTTATGCCATGATGCCATGCCATGACTAAAGCCTGCCTGTCCTGGAGGGAAATCTAGGAGAGAGAAAAATGGGAAAATCACCCCAAGGGGGTCACCATTTCAAGTGTTAACTGCCTTCCACAATTCACCTGGTTTTGTTTATTGTTCAGAGTCCATTAATACTTGGCTTTTGTATTTTGTCCAGAGTTTCAGTTGTAATCAGAGAGAAAAATAAACTTTAATATGTTTGTACCCCCCAAAGAACTAGAATATAATATTCTTTCTTATTATATAACTCAGCTAAAATACTCTTCCTTCACAGATAACTTCTAGATTTAAAAATAGATTAAATGTGCTATTTTTCTCTGCCAAATCCTTTCCAATTGATCTACGTACCCATAATCACCACCCTGGGACCTGGGCAGGGGCATAGATAGACCCTCTGTCCACCCTGGAGCCCGTTGCTGAGTAATAGAGGCCAGCATGAGTCATAGAGCAACTCTGAATAAAGAGATAAGGATGAAAATCAACCTGAATCCTGTCAGAATTTGAAAGGAAATGATTGAAAGTCCGATGACCATCAATTGTACCAAGGTGGAAGCACAAGTCCGTCAACATTCAAGAGCTCAAATTGAAAACCATGTGCTCTTTGTGGTCCTTTTATCAGATGCCCTCTGATCTACCTTTCCCTGCTGGTTTTTCCCTTTTCATGATATCTCATCTTATTTTAAAATCATCTCCATCAAAATCTAACCCCATCGGAGAAAAAAAAGAAAGAAAGAAAAAGAGAGAAAGAAAGAAAAACACCCTGATTTTAGAAACCTTTAAAATATATTGAAAGTTCTGATTTGTTTAACAGCTGATACATTCAGCTATTTTCAAAAACATTTGGAATACATTAAATTGGAATTATTTTAACTCAACTGAAATTACAGCACTATTTTTAGAGAATGTCACAGCTAGGCTAGAAACAGATTACTGAAATTGAGAAGGAACTCATTATAAATCCTGTGTGCCTGTGTGTCCATTTCCCCACAGAATTATGTATGTATCCTCCCAGTGAACTCACTAACAATTTTGTTTATAAGGCAGCACTTCCTTATAGACTCAGCTATAAGAGAAAGCACTATGTAAATGACCCTCCTGTTCAGATGCCTAGGAGAAAAACTAGGTGACCACTCTCATTATCTAAAAATAAACTTCTTCTGGGGTGCCTAGGTGGTTCAGTCAGTTAAGCATCTGACTCTTGATTTCAGGTCAGGTCATGATCTCATGGTTTGTGAGATCAAGCCCCATGGAGCCTGCTTGGAATTCTCTTTCCCCCTCTCTCTGTCCCTCCTCTGCTCATTCTCGATCTTTCTCCCCTCTACCCCTTACCTGCTCATATACTCTCTCACACACAAAATAAATAAACATTTTAAAATAAATAAATAAATAAATAAATAGACAAACTTTTTATGTTGTTCCCTCAGACTGGGATTAAAAATCCATTAAAGGCATTTATAATTTAAAAACTAATCCTATCTATTTTTATATCCTATGGAAGAGATATATTAAAAGATACTTGAATAATTATTGAAAAACACTAACCTAAAGGAAAAAGATTAAATAAAATAATTTTATTGAGTGTTTTAGGTAGTAATAGTGCTGTGTTTTCTTGTGTTTTCATTTGCTTAGTTTTATGTTTTAAGGGCGTGGTTTCTATATTTTTTATTTTCCTCCCAAGGCAAGAAGAATGAGCCATTGGTATTTTTGAACTAGTAATCTGAATGTATTGGTAGTCACTCTCTGCCCCTCAGGTGTAAACAACTGTGCTCTTTGCCAGCACTCCTCAAAATTAATTTTTCTAGTGAATGAAAATTCTTTCACTCATTCACATTGTTACTTCTCATTTGATCTTAACATTTCTTAAGACAATTGAGGATATAAGGAACATATGACTTATTTATTTATTTAAATTCAAGTTAGTTTACATACAGTATAACATTGGCTTCAGGAGAAGAATCCAGTGATTCATCATTTACATATAACATTCAGTGCTTATCCCAACAAGTGTCCTCCTTAATGCCCATCACTCATTTAGCCCATCCCCCAGCCCACCTCTCCTCCAGAAACCCCTAGTTTGTTTTCTGTATTTAATAGTCTCTTTGGTTTTCCTCCTTCTCTCTTTTTAAGGAACATATAATTTTTATGTTATAAACCTTAGGGTTTATTAATAAAGGTATTTTATGCCAAAAAGTAACTTATATACAAGAAAATGATGGATAGCCAAGGAGAACTTGGAATGCCTTTGCAGTGAACCTGATTTGGAATTTGGCATGAGTTATTAACTATTAACATAAAATTATTGCGTGAAACATACAAATTAGAGCCTTTATCCCACTTATTATCTGCACTATTATTATTTTCAGTGACAGAGTCTTGACATAGCTAAAAATGTCCCATTGACAAAGACACAAATAAATCTCGATGCATGGGAAGACTTTCCAAATATCTTGTATACCCAAAGAAGGAAACAGACACAAAGCATGAACATGCCTGAAAAGATAACTCCTTGCTTAGGAACCAGGAAATCACCAAAGCTTTCTAATACAGCCTAAAGATAGCAAATTTTTTTCTCTTTCATCTCATTTTAAGATTCTGATAAAAATATCCTCACAAGAAGGTTTCTTAGATAAATCCATCTGAAAACCTCTCCACATAGCCCCTGTGACAATTACGGTGAATGACTGTTATATCTATAGACACATGGTTTGATTTATAAGCATAAATGCAAAATCCTCATAAAGCAATATTCCACATTGCTTAGTCTCATTCATTCTGCTATTGATTTGACAAATATTTATTGAGTATTTACTATATGCCAAGCACTGTTAGGCAGTTGGCAGCATGCTTAGGAGGAGCACCCAGGTAGAAGTGACAAGTACAAATACACATTCACCTAACAAAAAAGGCATAGGGTCTGGGTTCAGTGATCAAATGAATGTATGACGGAAAATAATGTGTAAGTGACAACTACAGCCATATCATTCATGTTTAATAAGCTATGGTTGAGGCTCTGGATTGTATTTCAAGTGAAATGAGGACAACATACTGTTGCGAAAACACCAAATATTATTGTTCTTGACAAACATTCTAAGAAAATGAATAATGTTTGCAGCAGTACAGAAGAATATATCCTGCTCAAAAGTTTTTCCAGAAAGTGCCAAGAAGCATTTGAGGGATAACTTTTCAATACCACAGGGCAAAAGTGGAAACAGTGTCTTCCTCAGGATTCTCAAGCTAAAACCTACCATCTGAGATGCCAATAAACCTACTTAATGTCTCTCAAATCCCTAAAACAGCCACTTCTTGTTTTATTCTTATGATTATAAAGGTAGGTTTAATTATGTTTTTTAAATGTTTAAGTCAATAACTAAGAGAATACAAATGTTATCTATAGCTTCAAAACACATGAGAAAATAGATACAAAGATATTTTAACAATATACTTAATCAATAGATGGGAAAAGGAAATACCAAGAATATATAACAATATATCAAATATAGGACATAGTAGTGAATAGCTTAAAATTAGATTCAAATGTATGTCCCTTACTGGAAACCAACTAAAAACTAAATGATAGAGATTAAAAATAAGTAAATGAGCTATTTCAGGAGACTTCTTTCTACTGGTCATCTACTTCTTTCTACCTGCTCATCTCTGTTAAGCACAACTATAAAACCTGGAAATCAAGAGACAACTAAAGAAGAATTCTTACAGGTAGTAATAGGAAAGCAAAGTGCTTTGGTGCCTCAGGACAGAAAGAATGATCAGCACCAGGGTATCATCCATCTCCCAGAACCAACATTCTCTGACTGCCACCACCACCACCACCACCACCCCCAGCCCAACATAGCAGGAAAAGGCAGTCAAGTGGGCTTGTTCCTCCCCTGGGTGGAACAGGATCCCTCTGACAATACCAGGTGATTATGGCTCCCCTGGCAAGTAAGATCAATAGAGTCCTGCCAACAAAGGTGGCCAGGGAAGCTGTTCCTACCATCCTGGGAAGTACCCGGTAGGCATGCAGATCCTGCAGAAAGATGCCACTACAACACAGACCTGGGATCTTATTCCTCTTTGATACCAGGCCTGAGACACTCTTCCCGGCCAAGAAATACCCAAGGCAGCTATGGGACACTGGTAGAGGTATCCTATCAGAGTGCATGGCTCAAGAAATGTCCTGAGACCCCCACAGGAAGGGGATCTCATTATAATGAACACTCACTCAGGAGGCCTCTTCATTCCTCCAGGACTGAGATTCTTCTTCCCTAACAAAGTGAAACTCAGGCAGCCCAACCTGGAGAAATCCCTTCCACTCCTTCAGGCAACACCAGTAAAGACAAGGAGGAACCCCAGAGCACCAAATAAATAGACCAAAGTAGCACTACAGAAACAAGGTTTCTGAAAATTAAAAGGTCATTGGAACCATAGGCCAGAACCTGAGGGCTAAACTTAAAACAGGATGACTGCCTGCTGAAATAAAAGATTTAAATATGACTCAGAGTACTTTAAACTAATGGATACAATACCCAAGATACAATCAAAAGTCACTTGTCATATCAGAAACAAACAAACATAGCTTAAAAGACAAAGGACCATCAATTGATATCAACACGGAGATAAATCAGATGTTGATTATCTAAAAATTATTTTAAAAAATTTTAATGTTTATTTATGTTTGAGAGAAAAGAGAGACAGAGTGTGAGCAGGGGAGGAACAGAGAGGGACACACAGAATCGAAGCAGGCTCCAGGCTCTGAGCTGTCAGCACAGAGCCCAATGCAGGGCTCAAACTCACTGACCATGAGATCATGACCTGAGCCAAGGTTGGACGTTTAACCAACTGAGCCACCCAGGCACCCCTGGATTATCTAAAAAGAATTTTAAAGTAGTCGCTATAAAAATGTCCCAACAATAAGTCACAAATTCTCTTGGAAAAAATATTTAATAGAAAACCAGAATGAAGAAATAGAAGGTTTTTTAAAGGGATTAAATAAAATTACAGAACTAAAAAATACAGTAACAAAAATATTTTTTAAAAAGTGCTTAGTATGGGCTCAAGATAGGGTGGAGATGACAGAGGATAGAATCAGTGAATTCTAATATTCATGTCATTGGAGTCCAAGGAGAGAATGAGGGTAGTATTGAAAAAGTACTTTTATGAAATAAAAGCTGAAATTTCCCCAATTTTTGACAAAGTGATCCACACGAAGACATATCATAACTTCTAAAAACTAAAGATAAAAAAATACTAAAATCACCCAGACAATTCTATATATTACCTATAAGGGAACATCAATTTTAATGGTAGAAATTTTCAAGAGATTAAAGAAAAGAACTGTCAACTATACATTCTATATCCACCGAAACTATCATTTAAGAATGAAAAGGAAATAAGGACACTTCAAATAAGGAAAATTAAAAGAATTTGTTACTATCAGACCTACCCCTAAATATTGCCTAAAAAAAGCTTTTCAAACACAAAGGAAATTATTTTTTAAAAAATTACTCTGGAGTATCAGGTAAGAAAGGGAACAACATAAACAGTAGAAATATATGTGCATACAATAAACTATTCTTTTCCTCATGAAGTTTTATAAATCACACTTTATAATTAAAACAAAAATTATAATATTATCTGATATTTAAGATAATGATATTTAAATATGAAGTGGGTTAAACAAATCTCAGTGGAAATGAGGTTTGAACGCTTTATTCAAAATGGTAAATAATAATACCAACAAACTCCAATAAGTCACAAATCCATATTGAAATCCTCAGAACAACCACTACAAAAACTATACAAAGAGATATACTCAAATATACTGTAAATAAATGAAGATATAACCCAAAACAGTTCAAGGAAGCCAGAGAAAGAAAAACATAAAAACTAGAAACAGAAAATATATAATTTAAGCGGAATATTTAAGTCTTCATTTAGATTTTTAAAATAACCCAACTACATACTACTGGCAAGAAATTCATTTCTAACTAAGTCAATAACATGGGAAGATATAAGGAATTACAGGAAAAGGTATATCTCACACAAATATTTAAGTAATTATATTAATATTAGCTAGACTTAAGAACAAAGAAAATTAGTAGAGACCAAGAAGGTCATTAAATAATGATAGATGTATCACTGCACTGGGAAGAAATGACAATCCTAAATGTGTACACAGGTAACAATAAAACAGCAAAAAACTGGTAGCGCTAAAAGAAAAAAAAAAGCCAAGTCTATGTATATAGTTAGGAATTCAACAACCTCCTTTCTGCATATTCTAGAACTACTAGATATAAAAACCATTGAAGATATAGAAAAGCTGAACAACACTGGACCAAAAAGATTTTATTCACAAATGTAGAACATTCCACCCAATAACAGAATATATCTTTCTTTTTCAAGTTCTCATAGAAGATTTGCCAAAAGACTATATTCTGGGTCATAAAACAAATCTCAACAAATGTAAGGGAATGGAAATCATTCAGAGTATGTTTTCCAAACATCATGATGGAATAAAAATAGAAATCAGTAACAGAAAGTCAATAGAAAAATCTCTAAAACATATGAAAACTGAAGAAGACACTTCTAAATAATTCATGGGTCAATGAAGAGATCTCAAAGTAAAGTTTAAAATACATAGAACCAAATGGTAATAAAAATACCGCATATGAACTCTCCACAATAGCTAAAACATGGAAAGAGCCTAAGTGTCCATCAACAGATGAATGGATCAAGAAGATGTGGTTTATCTATACCATGGAATACTACATGGCAATGAGAAACAATGAAATCTGGCCATGTGTAGCAACATGGATGGACCTTGAGGGTGTTATGCTGAGCGAAATAAGTCAGGCAGAGAAGGACAAATACCATATGTTTGCACGTATAGGAGGATTAGGAGGAACTTGACGGAGGAACAAGGGGGAGAAGAAGGGCGGAAATGGTGGGGGAAAGGGAGAGAGGCAAACCATGAGAGACTCTTGAATGCTGACAAAAACTGAGGACTGATGGATGTGGGGGGGAGGGGGGGATGGGCATGGAGGAGGGCACTTTGGGGATGAGCACTGAGTGTTATGTAGAAACTAATTTGACAATAAACTATTTGTAAAAAAAAAAAAAAAAAAAATACCGCATATGATAGGTATACATAGGATACTGTTAAAGCAGAACCAAGAGGAAATTTTATAGCACTAAATGTTAACATTGGAAAGTATCAACAACTTTACGTCCACAAATTCAATAACAAAGAAGAAATGGACCACTTCCTCAAGAAACACGAAATATCAAAACTTTACTTAGATAATATATATAATCTTAATATCTCTTTAACCTTTAAAAAAAGTCAACTTCAGAATATAAAATCTCCAGAAAAAAAATCTCCAAGCTCAGATGGCTTCACTGGAGAATTCCACCAAACTTCTTAAGGGAGAATTAGAAGTATTCTATACAAGCTTTTCCAGGAAATAAAAGGAGGAAGCCTTCCCAACTCACTTTGTGAAACCCAAATGAGACAAAGATAATATAAAAAATAAAACTACATATCAATGTATCTCATAAACTTAGCGCAAAAATCCCCCAACAAAATGTTACCAAACTGAATTCACAAATATGTGACAAAATTATATACCATAACCATGTAGGATTTCTTCCAAGTAGGCAAGTCTGGCTTAATGTTTGAAAATCTATCTAAAATCTAAAATGTAATCATATTGATAAGTTAAAGAAGAAAAATCATGTGATTTTCCTCTGAAGCCTCTAGAAGTAAAACTCTTGAGTTTAGTCTTCCTGTGAAAACTCTTGACAACACTGAGTTCAGATTCTGGTATCCACAACTGCAAGTGAATCAATCTCTGTTGTTTAGCTTGTGATTAGCTTAAAAGTAAACACATGTTACAGATAAAATTTTCCCTTCCCTTCCTGCAAGGCTTCAACCAACCCCATCATTTACTGACTACAGAATTCTCTTTTCAATCTTGGTTTCACACCCATTTCCTTTGATAAAGAACTCCTAATATAGCAAAGGAAGAATGTAACACCAGAATCCATTACCCAGGCACACTGGTGGCCTGCTCAAGGTTTCACTGCACTACCTGCTGCAACCCCAAATTCTACAAAGTCAGGGTGTTATCCTACATTATGCAGTATATGCTTTAAACAAATGAACAATATATGTATGTCACTATATCCTGAATACCTACTGGAAAGCATGAGTGCAGGAACCAAAGGGTAGATAGAGATGAGAGGGTCCCTCTTACTATCATACTCCATAACTCAGTCAATGAATTTTTGCTCCTTGTCTCTATAATCTTGAGCTTAGACAATGCAACTAACAGGGAGCAAAATGAAGGGTCTGTTATGTTGGTGAGAGTGTCTCATGGCCTTTTGGTCTCCTCATATTCTATAAGCATTAAGCAGACAGGAGTTATCCCTCTACTCTCCAAGATGACTAATCCTAATTATCGGAGAGAGCTGGGTTGCTTTTCCCTCATAGGGAACTGTCCAGAGGAGAACCGTCCAGAAGTGGGACATTCATCTACGTGCTTCCTTGCATCCTGTCAATCCTAGTCCATGGACACCTGGGTACTCCAGTGAAGACATGACCACCAAGGACTCAGATCCTATTGGAATGAAGGTTTGGGTCCCTCCAACAATGAATAAAATCCATGTAGCTGAGATGGTGCCAGGGTAAGGCAAAGACGTAAGAAAAGGAAGTTGACTAACAATCCAGATTTCATGTCGGCTATAGAAGCTGGAACTTAAGCAGATATATGTTATGGTATTTCACTGCTTCTTCTCCCACCTCCCTTTACTCTCCATTGGCATATATGAAGAGTACTAGAGTAGCTAACACTTAGGTTTCGGGTATAACTGAATCAACATCACACCCTATGCTACACAGTAGATGATGGGATATTATGCAACTCTTGTGTCGGGGATGGGTGATTTTTCTCCTGGAGCAGGATAAAAATAACAGGGACAAGTACAGGATTGAACTGTAACAGCCCACACTTGCTCCCATCCCTCTCTCTGCCTTCTCCCTGGCTCTGTGCTCCTGGAAGCTGTGCTCAGTCAAGCTCTCCTATCTTCGGGTCAGCCAATGGAACACACTGGCAGAATTTGACAGGTGGGAGGAACAGGCTCAGGATATTTAATCCCTGGCTC